TCTGAATCAGTCTTCGTTTGTGTTACCGTATTCACCTTGTGCGTCAGCTTCTTCGAAGTATACGTTACTACTGTTAAATTATCATACGAGGAAGACGAGGAAGAAGAAGAAGAAGAAGAGGAGGAGGAGGAGGAGGAGGAGGAGGAGGAGGAGGAAGAGCACCAACGAGAAGAGAAAACCCTTCTCTCCAGACCCAGCGCCAGGAAGGAAACTTACTTCCAGTTTCAGCTGCTTCTTGGAGCCCGGGCAGGACTCGCTCAGCTTCTCCATCCTCTTCTCATCTCCACTGGCCAACCCGTCGGTCTTCTCGGGGGGTAGGGCCACTGTGGGGGAGGCAAGGGAGGACGTGTGAGGCTTCGTGCTGGGGCCCCTCCCTGCCCCCCTGCCCACCTGCTGGAGTCAAAGCGGCTTTGCCCTCCAGGGCTGTCCAGCTGCTCCAGGGGGGGCCCCCTTCCAGGGCACACCCATGCTCTGCCCACGGGGGACACGCTGCTATCATGACCTGCAACATCCTTTATTCACCCCCCTCCCCCACACACACACCGCTCCAGAGGGCAGGGTGGGGGCTGCAGAGAAGAAAAAGGAAAGGAAGAAAGAGAAACAGAGGCCAGCTCCATCTTCAAAGCCGCTGCCTCCCTGCACGGAGGTCCTGGCTGGAGATGTAAGCCGTCCAGGCTTATCGGAACCAAACTTCAAGTTCAAAGGGAAGTTATCAGAAAACCACCTTCAGGTTCAATGTTGCCTTTCAAGTTCCACTTGATAAAACCCAAAGAAAAGAAACCTCTGTCCCGCTCTCTCCTCCGGAGCCCCCTCCTCCCCTCCGAGCAGAAACAGCCTGTCCTCCCTCAGGTCCTCCCCTGCCTCTCCTCCTCTCCCCTCTCCCGGGAGGGCGACGTCCCTCCCACCCCTCCCCCGCTCCGCGTCTTCTCTGCAGATCAGGGTGGCCTGGCTTGTCCTCCCTTCACCAGCAGGGCCTCATCCCATCCTGGCTCAGAAAACCACCCAGACACCCCTGGAGGGGGTCCTTCCCAGCAGGGGCCGGGCACACAAAGGTAGGAGGACTGGGAGCCATCCTGCCCTGGGGCCCCGGGGGCCAGGAACAAGGACAGTCAGCGCCCCCTTGCCCCACCACAGATGGCCTTTCACCCTCTCACTGCCCCCTACCCAATGGCTAGAGGAGGCAGGTGTCATAGAACCCACCGATCAAAGCCTTACAGACCCCAAGGCCAGGGTCAGGGGCGGGACTCAGGGGTCATGCTTCTACTTCCACATGGACCCTCTGGAACCAAACGAGGCCAAACCAGCACCTGCCCCCAGCCATCCCCGTGCAGAACAAATCGCCCTCCACCCACCTACCCATCTATCCATCCATCCATCCATCCTTCATCTATATCTAGCCATCCATACACTCATCCACCATCCATCCATCCACCCACCATCCATCATCCATTCTTCATCTATATCTAGCCATCCATACACTCATCCACCATCCATCTATCCATCATCCATCCTTCATCTATCATCCATCCATCCATCTACCCACCATCTATCCATCCACTCACCAACATCCATCCACCATCCATCCATCCACCATCCATCCATCCACCATCCATCTGCCATCCATGCATCCACCATCCATCATCTGGCTCATGGGCGGCCTGGAGGAGGGAGAATGGTGCCTGCCACAGGCTGCCAGGGTCCAACCTCCGTGAACAAAACTATCATGGAGACGGGCTTTGGCACCAGGTTCTGAGCCCATTCTCTGTCTCTGACTCCTTCTTGTGCAGCTCAGGGACTTGTTTTCCCAGAGATGATCTCTTGGGGGGCATCATTTCAGGGGGAGTCTGATCACACTTCAATTGCAAGGCCCAGCCGCAACAGGAGATACTGCTCATGTGAAAGAGGAGGAAGGAAGGAAAGGCACAGAGAGGAGAAAAGCAAAGCCTGTCTTGCCTCTGGATTCCTCTGGGTGACGGACCCACGCCCCCATGAGCCAAAACCTGCCGCCTCCTGTTTGCATAAATAAAGTTTTATTGGGACACAGTCGCTCGGACACACACTGTGTATGGCTGCTTCCCTCCACAATGGCAGAGTCCAGTAGTTGCCACAGAGACGGTCGGGTCCATGGAGCCAAAAACGCGTACTCTCCCGGCCCTTTACAGAGAAGTCTGTGACCCGGGCTGCAGGCGAACGCAGCCTTCACCCGCACCGGGTACCCGGACCCACCTGCGGCTCACCTGCTCCACTGGGAGCCCCGGTGCACGCACCACCTGCCCAGCCATGCACGGGAGCCATGGACAGAAATGTCCGCGCTGCCTCCTTCAGACCCGTCCTCAGCTCAGAGGAGTCTGGTGCAGTGGGTGGGCCTCCTTTTCTTTTTCTAAATATTTTAAATATGGTTTTATTGACTTCAGAGAGAGGAAGGGAGAGGGGGAGAGAGAGAGAAACATCTATGAGAGAAAAGCATCATGGATCGGCTGCCTCCTGCATGCCCCCCACTGGGGATCGAGCCCGCAACCCGGGCCTGTGCCCTGACCGGGAATCGAACCGTGACCTCCTGGTTCCTAGGTCGACGCTCACCCACTGAGCCACGCTGGCCTTCTCTTCTGAATCAGCTCCCCGTCCCTCCTCACTCTGTCCCTCCTCACTCCCTGGCCGAGGAGCAGAGCCGCTGTGTTTAGCAGATGATGCTTCCCCACACTCCCTCCTGCAGCCTGGCATCGCTCCACCCCCGGCAACTGCCAGATTAAATGCGTTACTTGACCATCCTCACCCGCTCCCTTTGATGTTCCCTTCTCAGGCTTCAGAATACCTTTTGGAGGGAGATCAGACAGCATTAAACAGAATTACTAATTAATTAAGCAAAGTTAAATTTTAAACACTGTTTGTTGTGTTAGCCAAAAGCCTGAACAGAACAGACTTTTTTCCTCCACGGAGATCAAAGACAGCCTCTTCCCCTCCCCCTCCCCCCGTTTAAAAAAGGGAGGGGCTGGGGAGGCAGAGAGAGAGAGGAGTGCTGGGGACACCCGGGACAGAGAGGACGGTGGCTACTCTGATCCGGGTTTAAACACCCATCCGCACCCCACCCGTGGGCCCCAGGGAAGGAGGCCCGGGCTCACTGGGGACGGCGGGCTGGGAGAGCCTCGGCCACTTTCCGGGGACCGTTTACCCTGGCAAACAGCGGCCCGGGGAGCAGGATGGCCCGGGATGGCACGGCTGATCCAGCACCAGGTGCTGACGGCTGGTGCCACCCAACAGCATGGGAAGAGGGTGGGCTGTGAAGTGAAAGACGGGCCGCCGCTCCCCACCCTCCTCCGCAGGACGAGCATCTCTGGGCTCTTCCTCCCTCGCCTCGCTCGGGGACAGAGTCTTCTGGGGGCACCGGGGGCCTGGCTGTGCCAAGCAGGCCGTGCACGGTACGGCTCTAGGAGCGCGTGCCCGTGCTGGGCGGTGCACATCTGTGGGTGGCGAGGACATTTTTGGAACAGATGGCGAAGGTGTCGTGAGGAGGGTGAGGAGGGGCCCCTGCTCCTGATTCGCACGAACGCTATTTGTCCCTGGCGGAATGCTGTCCAAACGCATCCCGTCTCGCCGGGCCGGTGTGGCTCAGTGGGTGAGCGTCGACCTAGGAACCAGGAGGTCACAGTTCGATTCCCGGTCAGGGCACAGGCCTGGGTTGCAGGCTCCATCCCCAGTGTGGGGCGTGCAGGAGGCAGTCGATCAATGATTCTCTCTCATCATTGATGTTTCTATCTCCCTCTCCCTTCCTCTCTGAAATCAATAAAAAATATATATACTATAGTATATATATTTAAATCTAGACCCTGAATGGTACAGCAAAGGCCGGCTTACTGTAACACAATCCAGAAAGGCCTGGTTGACATTAAACTCTGGAAGAAGACGCAAATTAGAACACAGGCTAGTGACTACATCGGCCCCAGCGAAGACCAGAAATGCCTGGACCCTGCGAGGCGTGGCGGGCACCTCTCCGGGCCCAGTCGCCTGGTGTGCGCTCAGCACGATGTCAGATTTAACACAGGCCACGGCCTCCTCGCTGGACTCCGCACACTCGCCCGAGCACACCCACCGCCCCTTCTTAATGGCCCTCGCACAGATTATCGGCCACAAATATTTCCATCTCGGGGTGGATTGCTGGGATGTTTCTGACTCCCCAGCCCCCCGACAGCAGCTGTTGGAGGGGAGGCAGATGAACTTTAATATTAGCCGATGCCAAATATAATTAGGGGGCTAATCTGCTGCGTGTAAAAAGAGAACGGTATCGTGTGTGCATTCCGGGCCAAATGGTTTCTTGTGTTCTGGGCAGGAGGCTCTCCCCGGGGAGCGAGGGTCCCCGAGATGCAGGGATCTGCGCGGCCGAGGGCTGTACCCGGGCCCGGGTGAAGTGAGTGGGAACACACGCTATTCCCCCCGCTCCTCTCACTAACGTCACGCAGGCTGTGTCACTGCTCACGTTTGACAAAAGGACTGAGCTTAAAGAGCAAACTCGAGCCCGGCCAGTTCGGCTCAGTGGTTGAGCGCCGACTTATGACCCAGGAGGTCAGGGTTTGATTCCCGGTCGGGGCACAAGCCCTAGTTGCAGGCTCCATCCCCAGCAGGGGGCGTGCAGGAGGCAGCCGATCCACAATTCTCCCTCATCATGGATGTTTCTCTCTCTACCTCTCCCTTCCTCTCTCTCTGAAATCAATAAAAACATCTTTCTAAAAGCAAACTTGACCAAGCCATTTCCCTTCTAAAAAGGATCGCCCGCCCACGACTGCCTCTCAGCGCATCCCTCCCTGGAACTGCTCTGCATCTCCTGACCCGGCCCACCCTCACACTGTGACCCCTGCCCCGAACACTCACTCTGTCTCTCCGATTCCTGCTCATCCTTTGGGTCCTCGGCTTGGGCCTCCCCACCTCTGAGCAGCACGCCTCCACGCCCCCCGGAACGAGGTTAGGGTTCCTGCGCAGGGAGCCCGTATCACACCGTGGTAGCCGTTACTCAGCTAACTGGCCCCTCCTTCAGCGGTGGATGCCCCGATGTATAGCACAGAGCCTGTGGCTCGTCATCATCATCAACAGGAAACGAGAGCAGCAGGCCAGTGTGGCCCAGTGACTGAGCACCAATCCATGGACCAGGAGGGTGCTGGTTCAAGTCCCGGGTTGCGGGTTTGATCCCCAGTAGTGGGGGGGCGCAGAAGGCAGCTGATCGATGATTCTCCCGGCACTGATGTTGCTGTATCTCTCTCCCTCGCCCTTTCTCTCCAAAATCAATAAAAATATAAATTTAAAAGGAAAAAGCGGGGGAGAGACCCTCCCAACCAAAGCTCGCTGGCCTTTTTCTCTCCTTGCAGCATCAGGCGCACGGCCTCTGGCTGTGACGTTCAAATCGGACTGAGAAGGGACATGTGTTCAGGGAGGGAGGGGGCCACGCCGGGGCAGGGACAGAGGGGGGGGGAGCCTTCTTTGGGCTAAAAATATCATGTCCCTTTCCCCCTCCCCCTCCCGCACCCCCACCCAAGTTGGAACCTGTGCTGAAATTCAGCGTTTCGAACCTGAGCCCGAACCACCTGGAACTAGGGACGCCTCCCGGGATGTGACGGCGGCAGAGTCTCCGAGGTGCAGGCGCGCAGGAAGAGGGGACCTGAGGGGAGCTGCCGTGGGGGCGAACCCGGGCCTTCGGGGCCTGCGGGGTGCAGGGGGTGATGGTTCTGCACTGAGGGAGAGGAGCCAGCGCCCGGCCCACCTGCCCCCTCCGTCGGGGGACAGTGGGAGTCCCTGCTGCTCTCCAGTGAGCGCCTCCCTGTCTCAGACTCCAGGGCCCCCAGCCGCCTCAGGTACTGGAATGAGGACTCCGCGGCCGGAGCTCTGTCCTCGGTCGGCTGTGTGACCCTGACAGGTTCCACCCCTCTCCATCCTCAGCTTTCCAGCTCCACGTGAGGGGACCCGAGGCCCGCCCAGGGCTGCGCAGCGCGATGGATGGCTGAGCCCTCCCCCTGGGTGTCTGGGTGGACTGGCCCAGGGCCCGAGGGGAACATACACCCGGCCTGGTGGCGGAGGGAGAGGGTCACCTGACTGGGAGAGGCTTTGAAAAGAGGCTTTGCCTGAACTGGACAAGGAAATGACCAAACCACCGGGGGTCCGTCATCAAGAAAGGTGGACCTGAGCTGGCCGGTGGGCTCAGTGGTTAGAGCATCAGCCCCCTGCGCCCCACTCCAGCCGCCTGCCGCCCCTGCCACACCCCACCGGCTGGGGCTTGGGTTCCATGTGGACTTTGTTCTCCCCACAGTTCAAAAGGAACTCCGCAGCCCGGCCCCGCGCCCCCGGCCCGGCCTTCATCTCCCGCCCCGTGTGCGTGCTCCCAGCTGGCCGGTTAAGGCGGCTAAGACGCTGGATTAGGGCCGGCTTTACATAACAACGCGGGAGCGAAAGCCAGCCTCTCCCGGGATGGCTAAAGGCTTCTTTTCATCTTCCTGCCTCAGATGGCCTTTTCTTCCTCCCGTGCGCAGCCCGCCAGCCCGCCAAGAGGCAGTGAACTTGGCCAACAGGAAGACAAAGGAGAGATTCAGGATTCCGAGAGCTCTCCCTGGCCGGCGCGCAGAGGGACACCCACAGCCTCCACCCCCACCCGCTCCGGGCCAGGTGGGTGCTTCCCCGCGGCCAGAAACCACAGCACCTGCCTCGCGGTGCGGTGGCCTGCGGGTCACAGCCCGTCCCGCGCCCTGGGGCGGGCGCCAGAGAGCCACAGCCCGCACAGGGCCCAGCCTCTCTCGGGTCAGCAGCCAGAGCAGCCACGCTCCCGGCTTTACTTACTTCTGTGTCCCCTGTTTAACGCCGTCTTTCGCCTTTCGTTTCCCAAGGAACCTGGGGCGGCATTCTCGTAAAAGTTAACGCGTGGGTCACAGCTAACGCTACGGTCCCCTGCACCACTCTCTCCCACGTGAGGCTCCTCCTCCCGCGCCCGGGAGCGGCTGCTCTGGTCTGTCTAGGCCAGTGATGGCGAACCTATGACACGTGTGTCAGAGGCGACACGCCAACTCATTGTTTTGGTTGATTTTTCTTTGTTCGATGGCATTTAAATATATAAAATAAATATCAAAAATATAAGTCTTTGTTTGACTATGGTTGCAAAGATCAAAAAATTTCTCTATGTGACACGGCACCAGAGTTAAGTGAGGGTTTTTCAAAATGCTGACACGCCGAGCTCAAAAGGTTCGCCATCGCTGGTCTAGGCCTCTAGCCACACAGCAGCACACACATGAGCATCTACACGTGTGCACAGGGAAGCACAGAGCGGTGCCCGGCGGCCTTGCTCCGTTAAGGTTAACGTGCTTTCTATCCGTGACGGGTGTCTGCGCCTGCTCTCGCCGCTTTACGGCCCGGGCTCCTGTGTGAGCCTTCGTTCGAAGGAAGGGGCCGAACAACTTGACCACCGACAACCCCGTCCAACCCCTCCTCTAGGTCCTAGTTCTTTCTTCAACGCGGTGCTTCCCCTGGAGGAAAGGAGGCGGGACAGCCGAGAGGAGGGAGGGGAGGCGGGAGGGGAGGGGGGAGGGGGTGCCCACACGCGTGTGCTCCAGGTGAGTGGACGAGCGGAGAACGGGGAACGGCACGGCTCCGGGAGGGAGTGCTCACTGCAAGCCTGACGCTGTGGGTGGGGCCGGTGAGGAGCCACTGCACTCACTCCCTCCGGAGCAGCTGCGGTCAAACAGCCCATCCGAGGCCCCACTGCGGCCACACGGCAGGGCCGGGCCGGGGACCCACGTGGCCCGGCTCCACTCTGGGCCTGGACTGTGGGGGCCACACTTCCCTCTTGCTCCTCAGCCCTCCCCCCAGAGTCCTGCCCTCGGCCTGGACCACAGATTTCTGGAGGGTGTGCAGGGCATGTGGTAGACCAGACGGCCCCATCCCCTCCGCCCTGCCCCCTGGGAACGAAGCAATGCAGTCCAGTACCTTCCAGTCGAAAGTCTTCCTCCTCCTCCTCGCTGAGCGTTTCTCTGAAAACCTCGCCCACCAGCTCCTAGAGGAAGGGAAGGCAGGGAGATGAAGGACGCCCCGGGGTCAGGTGGCACCTGGCATCGGGGCGGAAGACGTGGCGCCGTGAGCATGTGGCTGCCTGGTCGCAAGGAAGCGGGGGCCCTGCTCTGATGGTTCCGATGGGAATGTGGGCCAATGGAGGCAGGTCCCATCCCACCTGAAAAGCTGATCATCAGCCCAGCCAGTGTGGCTCAGTGGTTGAGCATCGACCTATGAACCAGGAGGTCACAATTCGATTCCCGGTCAG